AAAAGACTGAGTCAAACAGTAAGCAAGGCCAGAGGTCACGAGGAAGCGAGATCTGTTGTAGAAGTACCAGGAACGTATCTTCCTGAGCAATAGAAAACGAAAATACCCTACTTATCTTTTAAAATTTTTGTTATTTTTTTAATTCTTCTCGTTTTCGTTTTCTCAATATCTTCTTTAATAACTAAGGAATCGCCTATTTAATCCATAATTCCGTAAATAAAAATTTCACACAATGAAGTTCATGTTAACTGTTATCCAATGAGCAATTAGAAGAAAAAATTTTTACCGGTCCCTTTTGCCCCACCCTCTCCTATTATATACTGAAACATATTTTTATCCGGACGCACGGAAAGAAATCCACTACGTTTAGTATATAACCATTATAACTTTCCAGCGTTTTACCAACCATAAGGGAATATATTTCAATGTAAGTAACATTGAAAATTAACGTTAAATAAATGAAAATTTAACTAAAAAATTTTGTAGTCTGAGTGTAAGCGTTGGGGTAAATTTATTAGAAATTTTTCTCCGCGCATGTATGAAGTATTGAAATGAAAACTATAATCGAGACTGGGACACGATTGGAATTCGAGCGACCTTGCGCCCGTTACATTCCCGTAACGAATCCGACATGCTCCCGAATCCTTACGCAATGTTAAACCCAACGCCTCGACGTCCTTTCGAGGTCCCTTGATGTCCGGTGCTTTCTGTGTTGTAAATGCCTCCGGGGTATTTATAACACCACATAAATACTTAATCCTTTCTTCTGGGTTTTATCACCTGGGACAAGTGTCAGAATTCAAAGTCCACATACTCTGTCGTTTTTATTTTTATTTTTTGTGCTCGTAATTTTTACAGAGATGTATTACAACAAGACGAAATTCCCCGTTGTGACGCCATGAGAAAGGAATGAACGAACTTGTGATGCAGTCATCCTGCTAGATGTTGATTTTAATTATAGAAAATAAAAATTCTGAACGAAGGTCGAATTCGGATCTGATATTTATTACAGGAACATATCTGCGACGATTACACCGAATGCCTGTCATTGTCAGGGAGAAGAGAATGTTGTGAGAAATGTATCGTTTTCATTATTAACCTGCCAACGTATATCCCGTTATCGCAGTTTTCGGTCAGTCCCTGGGGAATCCCATGCAACGAAGGGTGCAACGGAAGTTGCGCAGTCCACTACTGCGCGTCGGGGGACTCTTTCACTATAGGCATGACTTTCAATATCTTAAACTTATCATATCGTCTTGATAATTGACGAATCAGTGGATGGGTATCGAGGTATTGACTACCACCAGTTTGGAATAGTCATTGCATAAACTGCCTCACTTGTATAATCGAATCGTTTCAATCGCAGGAAAATTTTCAGTATTGGCCAAGTGCAGTTGACACATACGTGGAAGAATGAACAAATAACGCACCCTGGGATTGAGGATTTAACGAGTTGTGTCAGTGCCATGAGGAATCCACTGTTACGAAATAATATTCAGTAGCTTCTAAACCAGCAAGACCTCTCTTTACACCAGAGTCAACACATTACTTAATCCATTCCCCTCGGCGGCACTATCTTTCCGTCGTCCCGCAGTTCATTTCAGTAATTGAGACTTGGCGAAGTGTTATGGGGACAAATTACATTAATTTGCCGGGTAAAGGGGCCAGGGAGGGATATTATGGCAGAGGGCATCATTGAAATGCAGTGCCAACACCTTTCGCACCGATTCGCGGCTTTAGTCATCCAACTTTATTATCTCGCACTACCACAATCTCCGGCTGTGGGCACAACCCACCGACAACTTGACTAACGGATATTCGGTGTATTGAATTTATTCGTGCGTCAATGGAGATAGATTTTATGACAACTCCTGGCCTCACAAACTATTCGCATGATTAATGTGTCTTCATTATTTTTTAAATCGAATTTATGCGCGCGTGGAAAAAGGATTTTTTTTGGTCGATTCTCAGTCGATTCCATCCATAACAATAAATTCAGGAATTTTATTTTCTAAACAATTCTGTTAGTATAATGAATAATCGATTCAATTTTTTTTTCACCAAAAAAATATTTCTGAGTTGAATAACGCACATTCTGATGGAGCATTGACTAAAATACCATTTTTTATTCTTTTAATTTATTAACCTGTCATCTAGGGATTGACTCCTTATGACAGGTGAGGTTCGAGTTCATACAAAAATAAGTATAATAAGGCTAAATCTACAAGAGGAACTTAAAGACTAAATGAGTAACCATATTAATAATTCAAAAATAAAGTTTTTCACAAACTAGTTGGAACTCTATTGATCAAATGTGGGGTGGGGGTAATCGTAATTATTAAACATAACTTTAGGTATCAAAATAAAAAAAAACGAACGGATGGATTACAGAGCAGGAACTTAAAAATTAGTTGGTGAGGCGTGGTGAACGATTATTAAAATGGAATTAATCAGGATATATAGGGAATCTCATGGGAAAAATATGTGTAAATAATTACACTATTTATATCTCTATTTTATATTTTTCAAAATTCAATCTTCCGGCTGTGCTTATAAGCCAATTTATTAATTTTGAAAATAAAAAATAATTTTTTATTTTTTTAATTATATATTAAAAAATTTTTTTTAATTTTAAAATTCGCAATGTATTTTGGAAAAATAGATGAATGACGTGTTTTGGATATTTAAAGAAAAATTTTCATTTAGCGGAGGGCTAAACGGCACGTGGCGTAGACTGGAGTTCTCGCCACGAAAGTTGACGGATAGGATTGATCCTAAGCATTCGAGGCTGAATAAAAAAAAGGCGTCAATGACAAAGATGATAATTTGTTAGTAACAATGGTGAAAGTGTACTTGACGTTGACGTGCCCCCCCGTGGTTGATCGTCAGAAAGGGACGGGTCTGCAAATAACCCGGACTGGAGAAGTAGCTCCTGCAAAAGAGTCCTTCACAATGAGTACAAGTCGCGAGAGAAAACCGGATTCCATAGGATTCTCCGTTGTAGCGAGGGCCCGACATGTACACAATAAATGTGTATACTACGTTTTTCATACAACGTACAGGTGGGTAAGGTACAACGATAACGCACGATAATTGAGTGTTCCCCTGTTTTCGTCGTCTCTGATATTTTTCGCATTAACCACTAACACTGGCTCCTTCACGAGTAAATGTAAACAGTTCTGTGGCTTTGGGAATTATATGGATTGTGCTAATGCCACTGATGTATACCATCGCATAATAAATCCATGGTAGTCCGGGATTTTACCGCGTGTGGTTTCTTTCGAGAGGCCTCTCGTAACGTTTTACATCTTCGGGGAACTGGAGGTTAATGCATAAGTGCAAGCAGGTGTAGGGAGTCGTTCATCACGGGTTGAAAGTCGGCTGTTGTTTGTGGAGTTGGTGAGGTTTTTCTTAAGAAAAATCCCTCAAAAAGTCCCTATGCAATATCTAAAAAAATTCTTTGTTAAATGTTTAATTTTCAAGTGAAGTGTTTCACTTGAAGCTTTAGCAATTTCAAAGTGATAGAAATTTCTCGAGCATTTGTTCTTGATCAATCAATTATTTTCTTAAAGTCAGTAATCATTTTAATAATCAGCAGTAATCTTATTTATAATGTAGAGAAATGTATGCAGTTTTTGAATTATTATGTCACTAAACCGTATGTTTAATTTTTCATCAGCCGTCAGCGGCGCTGAGAGAAATTTCTCACGATGAAATGCAAAATGCGCCCGCAAAAATTTGGTTAGATGGAATTTCGAAGAATTCATTTGGGAGCTCAATTTTCCGACAATTTATATTTTGCTCCCATTATTTCGTGAATCACTATAGTGCACACCCGGATCTCATCGTGAAAGCTATCATCATAGGACTCTCACGAGAAAAAACGCTCGAGGGCGATTCTCGATAGTTTCCACCGACTCCGTCTCTCCGTTCGTACGAAAAGTTAATAGGTTAAAATTATTAAGTGCAGCCCTTGAGCTACGCAACTACATCTACCTCTTCTATCCTCTTCCAAGGATTTATCATAATTTCCACTGCATGAAGTCTATAAAAACTGCGAAACAAAAATTTACAGGCTCATCAACAAATTAGCAAAAAGTACACTGAAACAGATTTCCCTATGTCATTTGTTTGTAATGATAATTCATTATTTAAAACAAAAATTATTTGTCATCATTCGTTCAATACTTGAAATTGAAAGCCTGGAAAATTCATTGAAAGTTCAATTTCCATCCATTTCCACAGTACAATGTCCGCAATCATATTCTCGATTGTTTATTCTTTATTTATACGTGTCGATCCTAATGGGTTATTTACACAGATATATAATAACTAATGTTGTACAAACTCTGGATAATATTCATACACTCTAGATTCTCTTTTCACAAGTTGTAACAAATTGATTTATACATTTGACAGGTTCCATATCCTTCTGTACTTGCTTAATTTTTCATGTATTGTTATCTACCCATTTCCCTCAAAGTTTTTCCCGACGACAATTTCCACTTGCTGTCCCCCACCAAAACCCGGAGGACTCTCCAAAAAATGAAAAATCACTCCTCCCAATGCTTGGAACTTTCCAATGGCGAATAATTTTCCCCTGAAAATTAATGAAATTGTCACATAATTTTCCGTCTCTCTCCAAGTACACTTTATTGGCCTGCGGTGCGTATCTTTCCCTCTCCCCACGTGTCATTACCACCACCCGCAGTCCTCCCAGTTGCAATAAACCATTGCATATTAAAAAATGATTATTTCTGAGTTCAATTGATTCTTTTCTCGCGCGCGTTAGAGTGATGTCTTCTTGCTCTCTCGACGGTCAATCTCCCCTCGTCCCAAACCATTTTTTCCCCCGTTTTTCTCTCTCTCTCTTTGTTTTTCCCCCAGTGTTTTCTCTCTTTCTGTTTTTCCCCACCTTTCGCCTCGTCTTGTCCACCACCACCTCGTCCTTTCCACTCATTCGCATAGTAGTAGTCACAACGGAACTCAGTGCAGCCGCGGCGAGCAGCTGACGCGGGCCAAACTCCGTCGCTCTTTCAAATCGGCTGTTTAAATATATAACTAAATATTCAGTTTATCGATTTGTTTATCACTGGGATAAATTGCCCGGTCCTGACAACAAGTGGCGGACGCCGAAGGATTTGTTTTTTTTTTATTCCACTGTGAAAAACTGTGGCTTTCATGATTATCACGGGGAAATTCTGTGCTGCGATCAGTGGAACGTTTCGTCTGGGGTAGTAATCAGGTGTCAGTTTTTACGGGGATTTCTGTTGTGCGCCAAATTTTCCCGGTCTTCCTGTGCGCGCGCATGTCCACGCTCCTGCAAACGAGTCTTCGGGTGAGTTTCTCGTCGAGGTGGTGTTTTCGTCGAATCACTGATTTTAATCCACTTTTTGAGAGTATCCGAAATTTCGGACAATACTGAGAAGATTCTCTTCAATTGCAGAAAGTTTAAGCAAATTTTACTCTTTTTATTTCAAAATTCTGGAGGTGCGACGCGCGAAAACGGTGGGTTTCGAAGTTGAGTTTAAATGAGATTTTTTTTTGGGAATATCTCGGTATCTGAATGAGATAGAGAAATTTTGGTAGAAACATTTTTTGTAGGGCGCGTGGAAATCTATAAGAAAGGTTATATCGATGAGTTTGACATCTCCCATAGATTGCGGAATATTTACTGAAAACTGGGAAACGGGTGAAATCTGCTCGAACTGCTTTACCTCTTGGCTCTTGAATTGAATTTTGAATCTTCAGTTAATTGAAAATTCATGAAGTTCGGGAAATGAATTTCTCTAACTGTTGTGATTTTCAGTTTTAGTTCAATAAATTCAGATGAATATAATGTAAATAATCGTTATTAAAACCGTTAAGTTATTTAAAATTTTGAGATTTCTAAAAGTGCGCGCCCAGATGATGTGGCTAAAATATTTGAGGAATTCTCCCTTCCTCTGATTGTTTACGCGGAGAACTTGTCGCTGTGGCATAATAACTCGAATTATTCATCTCTGATCTAAATGAACACTTGAAAAAGGAAGAGGTGCGTGACAGTTGGCGGGAGAGAATCCCATGATTTCAAATATTTTTTGTCCGAATTCATTGAAATGAATCGTTCAAGTCGTAATGAACCTTCCAATATTTAATAGCAAAACAAAATACATTTGAAAAATCCCTGAAATTTTCGTTGGAAATTCTAATGGAATCTGTAATGGAATTATTCATGAATTTATGGCCAAGGCCGCGATAATGACTTTTCTCTCTTCGAAATGATTTGATCTCGCTTGACTGATCGGATTTTCATTTAGAAACTCTTGGTCTCTCGCATATGTCAATAGAAAATTCGGATTTCGGGTCTTTTACGAGAGAGTCGTGACAGCTGCTACGATTTCAGTCAACACGTGTGTAAAATCGGCAACACATGATCTCCAAGACAAATTGGCTCTCGGAGAAAATTGCTAATAAGTATTTTGACGCCACTCGGGCTTCCATTATCAATTGACATGAGTGTAGTACAGCGTACGATAAATTAAAACCACGTTGTTTTTCATCGGTGGACGATGGATCGAATTTCGAAACCGCCGTTTTTTTTTTTTTTTTGAAAACCTCTTCCTCATTCGTATCGTCACGGGAGATCACATTTTGGCATTAATTTCATGTCCGGCTCGACTCCATTCAAATAGTTTTTGTGAAGATTATTACTATTTTCTCATGAACAAGCCGGATTTTCTGAAATTTCAGGTCCAATTTCATCAGAATTAATTAGTTTTCAATTATATTATTTTTGAACTGCATTTCAATTAAGAACGTTCACTAATTTTCTTACTCATCTTGACAATCCAAGAACATTAATATTTTGAAGATATTTATAAATATATAAATAAATGCCTGAAGACTTGCATGCAATAGCCAGTTGCATCTTGAAACGAATCACGTTAAAATATAAATGTAAATAAATGAAAGCTTGAATTTTCATTAACCATTGAGGAAAGATATTGAATCCGAAAATTGAGAATTACTCTTACAAAAATTTCTTGTCACATTATCTTTATTAACAATTTCAGGTTCTCCTTCTTTTACGAAAATACAATAAAATCGTGATCGGCTTCGCCCCATAAATTTACCTCAAAAGCTGGAGAAATGAATTTAGTCAAATAGAAAACTTTTCCTCTGCATCTGGAAAACATCCGGGACAAAATGTCGCGCCCTTTTGTCAATTTCCCCCGCCTGTTCACCACTACAGCCTTGAAAATCTCCAATTATCCGGTTAAGAAAATATTTCTCAAATCGAAATGCTCCTTAGGATAACTTCCGGTTGACATTATTCACCGGTCATTAATTCCTCGGAAAAATCATTCGTTGAATAATGCCTGGCGTTGTCATTAACACTGCAGAGTGCAAAAATATGTTAAAGTGATGCTTCATTGTCGTTTCGTCTGCTAAACGAGTCGTTCCATAAAAATACGTAATCTACCTCCTCTTTCCGGTATATGTGTACTATAACTCTCCCGCTACGAATAACTAATTTTCCTCCCCCCAGCAACCTGCTCGCCTTTAAAAATTCATCATCAAAATAGCAACGAGCCATTACGACGGCTATAATTTTTCCGTCATTGTTGAGAATCCGTCAGTCCCCAAAAGAGCTCCGTAACGATGTCTTAATGACCCCATTAAACCCTAACGACACAATTTTTCTGTAACTGCGTGACTACTATTTACGATTCTGCATACATTCCACCGACAACGAGACGAGTTCCACAATTTTCTTGTCTCCCTTTGCAAATAAAAAAGCAATTTTGAGTCCCAGTTATTCAGATAGCATTTATTATCCACGAAATGATAACTACAAAAATGATTTATTAAATCATTTTTAACCGACTATCAATTTGGTAGAAGCACAACTTTTTTGAAACCTGTTTTTCTTGCAGTAACAATTGTTAATTGATTCATCTTGGTGATTTGGATGTTAATTCAATTTGAAATTTTAATAGAAAATATGATTCAATTTGCAATAAATTTGTCGATTCCGATAAGATGTTAAACCTGAAAATTTAGAATTGTTCTTACAGAAATTTCAGAAATTATAGAATTGCAGAATTTTCACGGGTCCCGACACAAATAAAAAAAGAATTTTGCTCCTCAAATGATAACTCTACAAATCATTTGTCAATAATTTTTATCGAACGATTAATTTGGCAGAAGTAAAACTCGCAAGCTCTGAAACGATTTATCTCCGCCCAATTGATCCATCCTCATAATCATCAACAATCCTCACGGACACATAATTTCATTTCAATAGTGTTAATTAACTATCGGATAATGAGGCAGATCGGATCGGTAGCCAGAAGAATCGCTCGACCATCTCGGTATTATTTTCGTGATTTTATTTGTCTTTATTATTTCCCTGGAGATGTTATGTTTGCAGATGGAAATTCCAACTATCCCTTTAGCAATTGCCCGTGTCCTCGGGGTAGATTCCACAGGTTCTCTTCCTGGGTTGATTATTCTTTGAGTCTTGCCGCACGATTCTCCCGCGATTATCACGACAGGTGCACACAACAGGCAATCGGTCTAAGCGACACTTACATTCTCATTTTGTTAATTAGACTTTGTTGAATTGTTTATCGGAATGGCCTTCAATTGTCCAGCCTAATAAGGGAATATTCCGGGTTTACTTATTCATTTGTTTCCGACGGACATTCGCAGGCGAGAAATCCAAGCTTGAACGATGGGCTCAAAGCTTAGATCAGCTTGGAATACCAAGCCTTGGAATTACTAGCTTGAACCAACCTCAATTCTATGGAATTACCATGATTTACCCAAGTCTGGTGATAGAATGTAAATACGAGCTTGTACACTAAGGTAGTTTCGATCATGGTTCAAGTTTGGTATTCCGAGCTTGAACGGCGCGGCTTCAACCAAGTTTGATCCAATATATGATAGCTAGGTAATTCCAAGTTTTGGAATTGCTAGTTTGACCCAACCTTGATTCTGGGACATTGTCATGGTTCAACCAAGCTTAGTAATATAATGCAAATACAAGCTTGTACACTAAGGTAGCTTCGATCATGATCCAAGTTTGGTAACCGAGCTTGATCCAGTATATGATATGCAGGTAATTCCAGGCCTTGGAGTTCCTAGCTTGAAACAGTCTTAATGTTATGGAACTATATAGTTTAACAAAATTTGATAAAAATAGGCAAATCGAATCTTGGATACCTCGGAAATTCCGATCATGTTCCAAGCTTGGGTGAAACCTGGAATAAATGAATAAAATAATAAATAATACTAATCATAATAGTAATAATAGTAACAGTTAATTAGTTACAGATAAAACAAGTTAGTGCGTACGTTCATAATAAGGCTTAGGAAGGGAAGAGAAGGGAAGGGGAGGGGAGGTTAATCGAGAAAAAGTAACTTATGTCAATGGATAATGTAAATCAAGTAAATAGTTGGTGATTTTAATTACATGAAATAAATAGAACGCTATTGCACAACATTATTTTTATAAAGTTGACATGGAGTTCATACACTGAGAAAAAATTTTCTTTAGCCACTAAGATTTACTAACCACAAGAAAATATATTTGGCATTACGAAGTCTTATGGGAGTATCTACAGAGTGATT